ATTGAGTGGTTAGTTGATTGTGGAATACAAGAGCAGGTCTTGATAGTCTCACTTGCCATCGTTATGGACTGTGAGTCTCAAGCCTGTAAACGATTAGTCTCACTTGCCATCGTTATGGACTGTGAGTCTCAAGCCTGTAAACAGATAGTCTCACTTGCCATCGTTATGGACTGTGAGTCTCAAGCCTGTAAACGATTAGTCTCACTTGCCATCGTTATGGACTGTGAGTCTCAAGCCTGTAAACGATTAGTCTCACTTGCCATCGTTATGGACTGTGAGTCTCAAGCCTGTAAACGATTAGTCTCACTTGCCATCGTTATGGGCTGTGAGTCTCAAGCCTGTAAACAGATAGTCTCACTTGCCATCGTTATGGGCTGTGAGTCTCAAGCCTGTAAACGATTAGTCTCACTTGCCATCGTTATGGGCTGTGAATCCCAAGCCTCTAAAAATCCTAATATAACACTACAGTCTTCAGAGACGTAGAGGTGCCATCGATGCTCTAGTGCAGTGGGGTGTGGGCTCCACGTTAGAAAACACGGCTCTAGGATCTCTTCTTCTTCTTCGCATTCATCGGCTGTTGACTCTGGCGGGAAAATCTGGTTGTTTGTTCACTTCCAGACTTGGGTCTTGCTCTAGTCTTGCGTGCACATTTGTTTTACAGATCTGGTTAATTTGTATGCAGACTGTTCATTCTTGCCTCTCAGTCAGATGCCCTCCGACACTGGGGTAAACATCTCTAATTAAACAAATTTTACTCAATGTTTGTTAGTGGGAAGTGGGTCTACTGTCCCTCTCCCTGCCCTTTCCGCCCGCTTTTAGAATGGAGTCCCTACACCCACAGAAAGAAGTGGGAGACAAGAGTAAAGGCAGACTGACAAAATAATATAATATTGTAAGGGACATAACAGTGTAAACCACTCAAACTTAATAAAACGAGAGTTATTTATCGGTGTTTTATACCAACAAAAAATCTGCTTGCCTAATTTCCTACAAGCGATAAACGGCGATTAATTATTGTGTTTCTTTTGAATGCATGCATCTGACTGAGAGGTAAGAACCAATATTATGCATACTAATAAGCCAGATTTGTAAAATGAATGTCCATGCAAACATCCTTACGTCCTTTTTAGGACGTAAATTTTTGTTTTTTTTGAAGCCCCACTCTGGCTTTTACCAGGGGCCGCAATACAGGCAGGCCATAAATATGGCCAATTGTCTGAACGCGGTTTCTAGGACCTCTCCACGGCGATCCTCATCCACGTGGTGGCACATTGTGCCATCGGGTGTTTATCGCTTGTGTGATGTCCTGGTGGGGTAGAAAGTCAGTCAGTCAGACAAGACCACAGTAAGAAGTGGATGTATCATCGTATAATACAATTTACCAATCGTCCCCATGTGGGAAGCAATTTTTGCGGGGGCCCTGAATATAGCTGGGCCATAAATCTGGCTAAACGGCTGAAAGGGGCTTCTGGGAACTCTACACAGGTGATCCTCATCTGCATGGTGGCACTTTGTGTCACTGTGTTTTCATCGCTTTTATGATGTCCTGGGGGGGAGGGGGGGGGGGTACACAAGAGAGAGACAGAGAGAGAGAAGAGAGAGAGAGAGAGAGAGAGAGAGAGAGAGAGAGAGAGAGAGAGAGAGAGAGGTGGACGTATCTTCGCACCCATGTGGGACGGAATTTTTCGTTATTTTGAAGAACAAATGAAAAGATAATATCAGCAACAACAGCACGATGTGTCTATGATCGAGGCGATCAGAGGGACAAGAAGCAGAAGCTTATATCCCTCTCGACACTCGTAGCGGTCACAGGGGAAGGGGAGAAGATGAGAAAGGCATATTTAAGTGTTTTATGTTGGTCAATATTATTTTTATACACTTATCTGTTATGGCAGCCTCCAAACATTACAGTTCTATAAAGGGTGGAGTGTCCATCATAACAAGTGACCATTGATTTAGTTCTTCGTTGGAAAGGATAAATATTGCAAGTTTCAAGTTTTGTAGCTTCATGTTTCGAGTTGTTTTGTAAGTCCTGAGATCATGCTTATGGATCAATCAAACATGACGAAAGTACAAAATCGGAAAAGACAGTGATAAAAGCTCTCTTTGTATATAGAAGCGGAAAAGTCGAATGTAAAAGTTTGACAAACGAAAACCGAGAGAGTAAAGTCCAAGTCCAAGTCCTTTTGAGAAAAAAAAAAGAAAAGCTCGACCACGTTCAGACTGCTGCTAGCTAGCCTAGGCTACTAGCAGTCTCCGCCTATATTTGTGGTCTGGGTTATTTGCGTCACTTTCGTGACTGAATTTTAGTGTTTGTGCCATTTCTGGGCTTGATGCTTCCATCCGAATTGTGAGTACAAATAAACAGGGGAGTCTACCAATCATCAGTAGAAGTGATCCCTGGTCCACAATTGTTTCGGCCCATGAGCTCCTAGAATATTAGGGTGTGCCCACCTGAGTTCATGAAGCTCAGGCTTGATCTGCTCCTGCTGCACGTATTACTGGATGTTCTCTGACAGGGACAAGACGAAATTGGTGACTATGTAACAGGTGTATTGTATCCTGTTTTATGTGCAGACGTTTTAACTGGTGGTGATGGTCACTAAACCTCACAGTGGCCCACCGGTGAGAATGAACTGTACCAAGTCATCAAAGCTACAAGTTGCTGGTCACTAAACCTTACAGTGGCCCACCGGTGAGAATGAACTGTACCAAGTCATCAAAGCTACAAGTGCTGGTCACTAAACCTCACAGTGTTTTGGCCGGTGAGAATGAACTGTACCAAGTCATCAAAGCTACAAGTTGCTGGTCACTAAACCTTACAGTGGCCCATGAGAATGAACAGTACTTGTCATCAAAGCTACAAGTTGCTGGTCACTAAACCTCACAGTTGCCCACCGGTGAGAATGAACTGTACCAAGTCATCAAAGCTACAAGTTGCTGGTCACTAAACCTTACAGTGGCCCACCGGTGAGAATGAACTGTACCAAGTCATCAAAGCTACAAGTTGCTGGTCACTAAACCTCACAGTTGCCCACCGGTGAGAATGAACTGTACCAAGTCATCAAAGCTACAAGTTGCTGGTCACTAAACCTTAAAGTGGCCCACCGGTGAGAATGGAACTGTACCAAGTCGCTGGACAACCCCAAGTCGAGTCACGAATTACGCGACTTAAGTCGGACTAGAAACCAAGTAGTACGACTCGAGTCCCGACTTGAAGTGTCTTACGTATCGTGCAACCAATCCCAGCACATTTCCGGCTGTTTGTGATTTCACAAGGCAGTTTTTACATTCAGTAGTTTGTCACTGCTGTCTCAACGGTCGGCTCTAGATACCACTGCGGAAATCAACGCAAAGCGGCCTATTGCCTAATGTCCCGCAGCTGGAATCGAACCAGGATCCTTGAGTTACTTCGCACGTTCGGAACGCTTAAGCACTGACACTGACAACGTAAGGTTGGGTTTATGTTTAAAAAATGTAGTTGGTTATCCCTTACAGGATAGCGTAGCGGATAAACGCTCGTGTGCGAATCGGAGGGTCGTGAGACTTTTCAAAAATGACCTTACTCCTAGGTCGACTTGGCCTGGGGTGAGTACCGGGTGCAATCCCGGGAAATAAATACGACAGGTGTTATGCTGACCACATCACCCATTTTGTGTCTATTGGTCTAAAAAATATAGGGCTAGCCCTATATGCCTAGATGCGTGGAAAAGGGACCTTTATTTTACTTTGTCTTTCACAGAATGTTGCAGAACAAACCCCAGCATTTTAAAGCTGTTGTCGGTTTTAAAGGCAAATTTTACGCCAAGTAGTTTTATGTTTATGAAAACGCTGGAAAAAACCCAACCACACAGGACTATCAGTTGTTTCGTAACCGTTTTGTCTTCTAATTCTTCTTCGATCCTTCTGTCAGAAAACCTATACCAGGAGGCCGGTAGCCTTTATGAAAGCTATCTTCTTGTGTACCATACAGTTTTGTCTTCATTGTGGTTGGAACAGGCCAAATTGCATCTCTGTTGTCAGCATACAGTTGACAGTGTTGGAGCACATGCTCAGCATTTTCGGGTGCCAAGTTGCAGGAGCACGTCTCTGTGTTGGCTACACGTCTCCAGAAATGGAGGTGGCCATGTCCCTATATGACTGTGATGTATGGCCGTATGGCTTAGGGGTTTCTTGGGATGCGCAACTGTTTGATTAAAGCTTTAAAAAAGCTTCAATAAAGTTAAAGAAATACTAAAAATGTCTGGTCATCAGTTATAATTAGGACATATTGAGCTTTTTAAAAAAAAAGTTATATATTTATATTTGTCAGTAACTGTTGGTTATTTAATATTGCTAAGATTATAATGTATTGTAACATATTGTAGGAGCATAGATTGTTGGATGTAATTTATTTTAAATATTCTTTTAAAATAATTATCATAATCATATATTGTAAACTTTACCTTTAGGAATCTTTCTAAAGTTATATGGGAGACCATTTTCTGTCCTTATAAACCCCGATGTAGTAAATGCACCTAACGAAGTACGGCGAGATGTGCCAATGACCTTACAATATAAATATTATAATTGTTCAAAGACATCTGCGTAATTGAAGCAGAGGTAGACAAATAAAACTGGTGTTTGATGTTGTCAGCTAAGATATTAATTTGTGTATAGATTGGAGGTCGGCCGGTAGATGTGTGGTGAGGGGCAGGCAGGACGAAGGGTCGGGTGTCCGGGAAGGGCCTGGCTTTGTGTGAATGTTGACATTTAGACGTCCCACATGTGAAACGTGATTAATGGCAACACATACCTCATGCCGGTTCCGGGTACACTCTCAGACTCATTCATCTTGCAGTGTTTTCCCGCGGGGGAACCATTGGAGCCCGGGAATCTGGATAAGTAAAGAGATAAGAGAACTGGGCATGCGCGAACCTCTCCTTTAATTTAAGTACTAGCGCTCCGCGCATGCGTACAGAAGAGCTTCCTGGGATGCAGACGATGTCAGATGGGTTCTCATGGCGGCTGCAGTCAGGCATTGTCCCTCTCGTTCTCATAATTGTATTACTAGAGGTGACGGCGGACCTGGCGTGTCCTGCCGAAAACAGTTGAAACAAGTGGATACTTTACAAGATATTTCTGCAAAAATTGTCGCCGAGAATATCCCGTTTCAACGGATAGAACAGCAGTATGACCGGATACCGGAGCCCGTCCAAAGCAAGATTGTGTTCTGGTCGTTTCCTAGGAATGAACGGGACATTTACATGTACTCGTCCTACGCAAACTGTTACAAAGAACATGCAGAAAATCAAAAGCTTCCTTTCCACCAGGGTGTTCGCCTCTTGGATAACAATGCTGTAGCAAATGTTCTTCAGATAGGTAAGTTATGCTGCCAGTGATACCATAATTGGCGTCTTGTGTTCATAGTTTGGCTATTATTAATATTGGCTAACGGATCGAATGTCCCCATTTCACTTTGTCTCGGCCTCTCGATGTGGTCGAAAGTAATCAACTTTGTACTGCTTTTGTTCAGCCCTGGAGACTTGCTGTAAACACACAAGGAAAAAAAGAACTAGTCTATGCAACTACACGGCTGACACATATATGGTCATGTTTGTCACTTTCATTAGTGTAACCGTTATTACTAATACTTATCGTGTTATGCCACGCCCCCACCCCCATACCTACTGATAACGCCTCGACGGTTGTTACATGTCCTTTTCTTTGTTGCTATTCCTTCACTCTTGAGAAGAGAGAGACGCGAAATCATGTATTCCCATATATTTTGACCCGTTACCGATTAATTTCTCACACACAGTATACCAGACATCACTAGCCAACTAGCTCTTCAACTGGTTCAAGTAGGGGCTGGATGGTGACAGGGAAACTTTGCCCCTTTATTATTTTTGCTAGTTTTGTTTTATAAAGGATTACATAAATACATTTATTAACTGGCTGCCATAGCACCAGCACCTTGTATATTCCACTGTTGTTTAAAAATTGTGTTTTTCCAAAAATTTATGTCATAGCTGTTGACATTGTCTTGTTTGTTTTCTGTATCTTATCTGTGTAAATCCCCTTATCTCAACACTAGAGCTGGAGTGTGGCAGCTAGTCGAGGCTTGTAGTTCACCATTATGTTTTGACTTTGTCTACAATTTGGCATATTAATATTGCCTTTTAATTGATTTCATACTTTTATTTTTCCTCCAAATATATTTCTGCTGATTTAAATACTAATTTTGAAATTAAACTTTAAATTCCTGATGAAAACTGTCAGTTTCTAGAATAAATAGTTTCACATGAAAAACAAGAACCATAATAACAATTGTGCAATCTCTCAGTTACTTCCCATCCTTTTTAGGATGAAATTTTTCTTTATTTGAAGCCCTACTCTAGCTCTTGCCAGGGGCTGCAATATAGCCTGGCCATAAATATGGCCTAAAGGCTGAACGTGGTTTCTGGGACCTCTCCACTGTGATCATCACCCACATAGTGGCACATTGTGTCATCTGGTGTTTATCGCTTGTGTGATATCCTGGTGGGGTAGATAGTCAGTCAAAGTCAGTCTCTAAGTTACAGCTCTGTTCTTTTTCATATGTGTGGGTTAAGTTGTAGCTGTGTCTTTACAGCTGACTATTCATCTAAGTTTGCTAAGGTGCCAAAATGTCAGTAATCCTTGTAACAGCAACCCTACGGGATGCATTATATTTCCAGTCAACATTACTGTAAGTGCCGACCCCAGGGTAGGTTATCCATTTGTTTGTGTAAGTTCACATCATACTACTATTCTTTTATATTTATTATTGTTTGAGGTTACGGTTAAAGTTAGGGCTAACCCTGACCAAAGCACGAACCTTAAACCAAACCTTTACCATAATCTTAAACAATAATAAATATAAAAGAATGTTATGTGAACATACACAAACAATAGATTGTCTCCCTTACAATTGCCGTAAAGAACCATTGCTTGTATCCCCTAGGAGGGTTGCAGTTGCAAGGATTGCCAAAAATGTCTACCAGTTGAGCAGCCTTATCTCTGCAGGCACCTATAAGGAAATTAAGCTGTAGTTAAACTTATGTTTAGCATTTCAGTGTGTGTAAACATGCAAAGTATATATTTCACTGAACAGTACACTAATTACTTTTTAGTAATATTGTTGAGGAAAATAAGGTAACCATCAGTTGTTTCATCACCATGTTGGAATAAATATTTCCTGCACTGATATTGTGGTATTGGCATTTGCAGTGTCCCTGGCACTCAGTTTAGTATTGTTTATGCTCCAGAGTCATGAAATCCTAGCTGGCATTGAAATCTTCATCACAGAGCTTGTCTTTCTCCTCCGCATGTTTAAATATTTCAGTTCAACTAGTTTTTGTGTGTGTGTCAGTCCCCAACTTTTGGGAATATGCCCATGATTTTGGTCCCTCAGCCATGTTCGAAGCTCCATCAGTACAGTGGAAGCCACACTTTTTAAGACGATATCTTGGGTTACTTTTCAGAAATAATTTTTGCATTATTGTGGAAAGTCATTATTACCATTGATCTGCTGTGTCCTAGTACCCTGTCATTTTTACCAAAGTCTCACTGTTCTTACTTTTCCTGTTTACCATGCTGTTACCTCTTTAGCAATGTTTCTTTATCACAAGTTGAAAATAAAAGTATATGTTGTTACTTATACCTTCCATCGTCCAGTGGAATATAAACCTTTAACCAACTCAGCCAATCAAGATATGCATAGAAAACCAGCAGGTCAAGCAAGAGAGAGACTTTCAGTATCTAGGAAGCATAATATCAGGCAGTGGGGACAATCAAGCATAGATAGCACACAGATGTCATAAAAGCAAATCAGATAACTGGATCATCATTGTCCCGTAACACTGCATGTCATTGGGTCACCAGTTTCTGTTGATTGTCTGTTCAGCCCTCTCCACCTTTGGCGGTCAGTTGCGATGGACTTTATGGTTGCATGCCTGAGGCTTGTCTAGTCGGTCAGGTTCTGTAACCAGGTCTTTCTTGGTCTGCCTCTTCTCCTTTTTCCCTCTACTGAGCCCTGCAGTATTGTTTTTAAGAGGCCATTAGGTCTTATTACATGTCCATATCATTGCATTTTTCGCCTTTTCACTGTAGTTAAAAGCGGTTCGTAGTTGCCAATGCGCTGTATAATTTTAGATCACACCTCTTCGTTTGTAATGTGGTTTCTGTATGATATGCCAAGAATTTTCCTGAAACATCGCATTTCTAATGCTTGTATCTTTCTTTCGAGTTCAGCTGTTAAGGTCCACGTTTCACAGCCAGATGTAAATGTACTAATAGCTAGTGCTCTGAGCAATCGAATCTTAGTTTTGCATGAAATGTTTTTGGATCTCCCTAATGTTTGCTGCTGGGCAAGGACTGATGTCTGGGCAATCCTAAACATGATTTCTGGTCTTGACCCCAATGTTTGCAGAGCAAACATGTAATAAATGACACCAACAGAGCACTATTCAGTACATTACTAGTCCATTTTGTTATCACTGTCAAAAGGGCACATTAACGATGAAAAAGACAAATCAAAACAGAAATGAATTGTCTAGAATAAATTTTAAGTGTAACTAAAAGAGACTATGTCAGGAAAGAAGTTGGGACAGAACCAGTACTAAACTACATCAAAAGACAACAGATCAAATGGTTTGGACATGTGTCGAGACTATCACCAGAAAGTGCATCACAGAGAACCCTTCCCCTCAGAACTAGAGGTCAGCCACGCAGGTATAGATGGAATATCCGAGGCCATACATAACCAGCATCTACCTAGTACATACCGAGACACACACTTGATACCTCATCAGAACCTGCTGCTGAAAGACAGAGCAGAACTAGACAAGAATAAGAACCAACTCAGGCCAAACCTCATGTGATGTGTTCCCAGTTGCTTGGCTTTTACAGCGACAGTTTTTGTTTAATGAGCTGAGGTAGATAGTCTCATGTTGCCCTCTTCAGTTGTTTTAACAGATTTTTGGTGGTGGTTTTGTTGTCTATGTTCTCTTTAAGCCTCATAACATATGGCCAGTATGGTGTTAGCTCCCCTTTTCTGTAGACAGGTCAGTATTCAGTGATTGGTGGGATCACTATCACAGTATTCAGTGGTTGGTGGGACCACTATCACAGTATTCAGTGGTTGGTGGGATCACTATCACAGTATTCAGTGGTTGGTGGGACCACTATCACAGTATTCAGTGGTTGGTGGGATCACTATCACACCTGACAGTACAGGGTATGGGCTAACAGTTCTGTTTTGAGCAACAGGTCGTAAGTTGAATGTATACTTTTCAGCGCTATATTTGTTCTTTGTTCAAACAGATTACCAAAGCAGTGAAGATAAAACACAAAAACTTAATCTATGTTTGCACAGTTATTGTACATAATGTCTTCTTCTTTCGTTCACTTGAAAAAAATTATCTATATCTGCAATGTTGTCTCAAGTATGAACTTCACTGTCTTTTGTAATTCACTCAGCAAGCCATAAAGTTTAACTTGCACCCATGTTTCTCTTGGCCAACAATTTTGCCTTGATATGTTGTATTTGGGACAGTCTTGGAGGACATGATCTGTTGTCTCAGGTGCCAATCCACATGGCTGATTTGCCGATTTTAATTTTTGTATAAATGTCGCTATGAAGTCGACTGTGTCCTGTTCTAAGGCATTGAATAATAACTTGCTCTGGTTTGTCCATAAAATGGTAATCATCTTGTGCCAGTTTTAGTGGCTTTTTGATTGATTGATTTTTTTTTTTGCTGATAAGAGACTGGCACGTCATGTTGTTCATTTGCACCTTCCTTAGCTTGTTTATCAGCTTTTTAATTTCCGGAAACTCCACAGTGGGATGGTATCCATTGCATAATTACCTTATGTACATAATGTGAAAAATGCATATGTAGTTCTATTTTAGTAAATGGCTTAGGTGTTGTGAACACGCTTTGTAATGCCAGTGAGCCGGGTTTGATCCCACTGCATGCGATTTTTTTTTTTTACCTCGCGTTGCTTTCAACAGTGGCACCGAGAGCCGACCTGTCAGTAGCAGTTGGCAAACTTTTTTAAAACTCTATTGTGGGTACTATTGTGGGTACTACAAAAAAAAAATACAAACTAAAATTATTATTAATATTTTTTTTTAAAGGCGTAGGTTGCAAGTCAAGGAGAATGTGTATTTTGATTGCATTTCTTAGAGAAATTTGGGGAGGGGGGAGGAGGTTGACTTCAGTAAAAAAAAAGACAGGTACATAATGACCATGACAACAGTCCTGTTGTAGCTGTTTATAAATGGACTTGTATCTCTGTTCTTTGGTAGCACTGTGAACATTATTGCACTCCTGACAGATATAGCAATGCTTGCTCAC